GACACTGCTAGAGGGGACTGGACCCACCAGGACGAATTAGCTATTTTAATGAAATGAACCAGTTTTGCTGGAATTTAGCCCAGGTAAGAGGAATCTGTACTTTTCTAGATGGAGAAATGCTGAGTGCCAAGGAGTCTTGCCAGCTGCGCCCTGAGCTAATGTATGCGTGTGTATGCATGTGTGTCCTCTGGACCTGGGCTGGGTCTCGACCCAGTAGCCTTGAGCAAGGAAGGCTCTGAGGGTCCACTTAGCTGGCCCTGGCCCCGTGATGCCCATGAACACGGTTCTACATGCAGAGGGCGCATAGGCACCTATGTCATCCTCCGCCTTTGGCCCAAACCCCAGGCCAGGCTCAGTCTCCCAGGGCTCCTGCTGCTCCTCGGGCCTGAATTCTCTCAAGGAGAATGTGCCTGTGAGCTGGCACTCAGGTCCCTTTCAACCCTTTGACTCCAAGTCCATGGTTTATGATGTTCTGAGTCCTGGCAGGCCTCGGCTGGTGGCCCGCGCCCTTCTGGTCCTTTCCTTTTAAGAGCTGGGCCGTCAGAGTCTATCTTTGGAGTTCCCCAGAGCCCCAGATATGCCTTCACCAGGATTTTCACAGCAACCCAACCCTGCCTTCGGCCCTTGCGTGGAGCCATTCCAGCCGACCTCCCCAGGGCCCTGCGGGCTAGGTTCTCCCCGATCCCTCCTGGAAAGGCTCTCAGCATTTGACTGGGAGTCTGTGGGTCTCTGCAGGCTGCCTAGGGCTGGGGGTGGGTGACAGGGTTAAATAAACCGATAAGCGAACAGGAGGCTTCCGGCTTCCTCTCACCCCTCCTTTCTTCTCCCTCCATGAGGGGAAAGGCCCTGTCGCTCTGCCCGACTGATAAAGCAATTCAATTAACTGGCTTGGGGAGCAGGGCAGGCCAGGGAAGGATGCTGGCTCCTTGACCTGGACCTGAGGAAGAAGAGGTTGGTCCCTGACAGGAGCTGGAATGCCCAAAGGGGGTGTGAGTACCAATGGATAGGACCTTGCCTTGGCAGCCATGGGGTCTGCTCCTAGGCCCGGAGCCCCTCAAAACAAGCAGAGTCCAGAGGAAGAAGATGGAAAGGAGATTGGATGGCTCCTTCACCCCAAAGTGCCTGAGCCTCACACCAAACCCCCATGGGAAAAAGGGAGCGGTATATGGCTTTGATGATAGCCTCGTGAACTTCCCACCACCGGGGTCAGCTTCAGCTTTCACAGAGTAAGAGCCTAATTTGAGGGGCTGTAGAAAGGCAGGCACCTGACAGTCCCCATCAGTGTCACTCTGAGATCAAACTTTGCTCTCTTTTTCCTATTCTTTTGCCATAATTTTATTCCTGGTGAGGGAAACCCACTGTGGCTGACACTTTAGCATGAACTGGCTCTCAGACAGATGCTCTTTCCTGACAGCCAGAAGAAACCACCGGCACCCAGAGGAGAAAGGTGATGAAATGATGTCATGGATGGAAAGAAGCTTGTGGAATTAGGAATTTCCAACTGTGACTGTTTCAGTTTTGCTTAAGCCGGTGGGCTATCGGGGTCTTGGAGGAATAGCGAAAGGAGAGAGCAGGCCGAGTCCCAGATGAGAGAGTTAGGCTGGGAGGGATACCCGAGGTCCTGGAATTGACAGGAAGTCCAGAATCATTTGTCACCCCAGGCCTGTCAGCCCCTATTTCTCCTCATCACCACAGCCCAGAGCTGAGGCGAGGTCGGGAGAAGGGTGTCCTAGCACCACCAGGGGGCAGCATCAACCACCCACAGTAAGCCATCACTGCAGAAGAGGCAGGGGCCTCTCCTCTTTCCTGGGTTCTGTGCTTTGGGGAGATAGTATGACTTCATACACGCAGAACTGATGGGAACAAACCCTGCAATGCCAACTGCAGCATACTGAATCCCCCAGAAAATTCCAGAAAGGCTTAGGTAACTGGTTAGCCCAGAACTCTAGAATAAAACCTTCAGCAAGTAGTGAGGCCTTCTCTGGAGGCCCCTGGTCTGAGACTGAGCTCCCGTCTCCAGGAGCTGGTCAGTGCTCTACGTCAGCGGCACTCCCACCCAGTGCACCTTCACCCTGCCGCCTCTCGCAGTGTGGGCCCTCTGTTTTCTTTGGCTGTTCCAGGGTTCCCCTCCCCCCACCTCAGCTTTCTGACCTGCCCTCCAGGCCTCCTTTTCCCCTGGAAGCTTCCCCTCCACCTGCCTCCTCACATGTCTATCACCGTTGACTAACACTGCAGAATGAAAACACCAAGAGGACAGATATTTGTTAGTGCAAGGATGGGGGGCGGGGGTCGCTGTCTGTTTTATTTATTGATTTCTAGTGCCTGGAACGGCTTCTGGCACATAGTACAGGAACTCAAGAAATACTTATTGAATGAACCAATGGTTTTTTTCATCTGTCCCACCCCACTCCCATCAACGTCTCCCTTTCTTGGAATGACTGAGTTTAGCCAGTCTGAAGAATGGAAAGTGAGGTAAAGATCCCAAAGGAGTTGTCTAGGACGCAGCCAGATAGGACTTTAGAGCTATTCATTACAGTCAATTCTTTAATCTCCTTGCTGTGGCTCTGGGCAGTCCTGGGTCTTCTCTTGCATTACATTTAGGATATTTCTTTTTTTGCTGCAGCAAACTCAAAGCCAGCTAAAATCTGAAATGCAGACATCAGGTCCTGGGGGGAGGAGGACTGGACACCAAAGGGGTACCAGTAAAGGTGTTTCTGACTACAGTCCAGGATGGCACCTACCTCCTGTGCATGTTAGTACAGATCATCAAAGATCACCATCATTCTGGTTTTCTGACTTCATTATTGATGAGACTTTTGCTTATAAGAATCCCTTGAATTTGCACTGGGCTTTTAACCTTTCCTCAGAGCACCTCCAGGGCCTTGTCTTGTTTTCCCCATCATAGCCAGGTACCGCCTAATCTGGAAATCGCATGGTGTCCAGGATAGGTGTGTCAATCATCTTGCATTTCTGCCTTAAGTTCCCTCTTACATCATCCAGATGGACATGGAGGCTGCCTGAAGCTGTAAAAATTTGAGGATTAATTTAAAGATGTAGAAGAGGTTCTGGACTTAATAAATAAAAACAAATGAATCTGGAAATTGCTCTTGGGCTGAGGCCAGTAAAGTCGATCGGTGCCTAATGTTTCGGGCATTGCTGCTTTTCAATCACTTAGCAAACAAGTTCTCAGAGACAGGCAATGTGGGAGCTGTCAAGATGAAAAAGCAGTGGGGGCTTGGAAGAGCTCAGGGTCAGAGAGGGGGGATGAGACGTAAAAAGGGCAAAATCGAATTGCAATGAGTGAAACAACAGAACCAGGAGCGGGTCACGGGCAGGACGTGGGCACTTCCTATGTGCCCCCAGGTTAAAGATGAGTCTTGGCTTAGCCTGACGATCTTTCAGGGTCGTCCACCCGACACCGGTAACAGTGCCAGGATTCGATTCCTTCCACCCAGACCGTGAGCCTGCCGGGTCCCTCATTCCATTACAGGGGCTTCGGTGACTGTAACGGAGACGGTAAGCATCAAGACCACGGGCATTTGGGGCCGGGTTGAGCCTCCAAGGCGCAGGAATGGGGGCGGGGTGGTCAGGAGGCCCCAAACACCGTGTCTGGGCAGGAGCCCGCAACCTCCTCCTTACTGACACCGCCTCTCCACTCGCTTTCTTCCCCCCGCCTCCAGTCAGCCGCAATGAAACCGCAACAATGCGATCAGCTTGGCGGGCAGGGGGCGACTGGAGCAGCCAGGAGCGAGAGGAGGTTACAGGTCAGGGGTCGAGAGCGCAACCGTGTCACTCGGGCTGCAGTGGGAGGAGCCGTGGGCTCGGGGAAGGCGGAGAGCAGGGAGTGAGGTGGGAGGGGACGATGGCGGAGGCGCGCAGGGGCGGCGCGCTAGGCTGGGCGCTGGCGATGAGGGGGTTACGCGCCTTGGTTGGGCTCGGCTCCGCGGAGGAAGGCTGAGATCCGCGACCGGGCGAGGCGGGGCCGGGAGGAAAAAGCGCCACCGGACTGTGGCTTCCGCTAGCATCGCCCGAGAGAGACGGTGCGCCCCCTGAGCCCTAGCCCACTGGCGCCGAGGTACCCCCCCTCTTAGGCCACCTCTCGCCCGCCTCCTGCAGCAAGCCAAGGCCGGCGCCCCGCCCGGAGATGGGCAGACTCGTGGATGGCGTGGTTCCCAGCGTTCCCAGATCGCAGGAGCCCGGCGCCGGGGCGCTGCGCTGAGGATCCC